TAGCACCTCTGTGCATCCATTTCCTGCTCTGTACGATGGAGATGACAGTCCCTGCCTCGTAAGGTGGTTTGGAGGAGTGAATGGGGTTGCCCAGGGAAGGGGCCCAACTCCCTGGAGGCAGGCAGACCACTCAGCCCCTCCTCCCACCCCGATGGAGACACTGAGACTAGAGCCATTGGAGGACATACGTGGCTGAGAGCAGGCTGGGCCCCTAGTTTAGTGACCTGCACTAGGCCATCATGCCAGGGCCCGAGAGTCAAGCCACTAGGGACAGGAGTGCCAAGTGTGCTGAGGGGTGATCTGCCCTGCGGCCAGGCTATGGGGGGCCTCCAGCTGCTCAGTGTCTCCTCTAGTGCTTTCTGTCTGCTCGCCTGTGGGAAGAGTGAGCCACCGCAACAGCAGCTGCCACTTGGGCAGGCCACAGTCTTCTGGGGGCAGGGTCTGAGAGCCCATCGCCTGCAAGCTGCCCAGTCTCCGGGGCTTGGACATGTCCCTAGTGGGGAAGGGCTGGTGCTGACCCCGCAGACCCTCTCCTATCTCATGCCTGATCTGCCTGCAGACTTTGTGACCTGCCAACTGTCTGCATCCATCCATCCTTCCAGTGTTTACTGAGTGCTGGGAAGCGTGGTGGTTAAAGAGTGCAGCCCGTAAAGACCCGGGATCCAGTCCCAGCATGGCCTCTTCCAAGCCATGTGACTTGGGACAAGTTAAATTCTCGGTGCCTCTCTGTAATGGCGGGGGTGGTTAACAGTCTCAGCCAACCTCATCAGGTTGCCACAAACCCACAGTGCCCATTCCCAGTAAGCTTGGATCCCTCGGGGCTGTATTGGGATTCCTAATGTTATCATTTTTATGGATAGGATGCCCTGCCCTGCTCAGGATGTCTCTGCCCTGCGGATACTCACAGCCCCGCGGGAGAGGTGGATACAGTCCCACACAGCCCTGTGTCACCATTGGGAGCTGAGGAGGGAAGCCACAGTTTTGATCCTGGAGGGGTGGGGTGGAGGGCAGGGTTGGCCTCCTAAGCAGCGGTCCCTGTGAGACCCTGTGAAACAAATTCATGTGAAGAAGCATGTCAATGTAGCATCCCACCCCGCCCCCCTCTGCAACCTTGGCTCTCCTTCCCATGTGTGTGTGTGCTGGGCACAGCCTTCCTGAGAACAGCAGGCAGCTGCAGGCACACACGAGTGTTGATATCCCTGACTCCCTCTAGAGCCTTCCCTATTCCCTTAACTTTAGAGCCTGCCCTGCTGTTGCCCCAGAAGGACTTATTGTGAGCCCCTGTGCTCCCTCCATCAGGACTCACGGGCTAGCACACAGCTAAGTGCTCTGTGTGGAAGGAAGGCATGTCCACAAAAGATCTGGCCACCCCTGCTGTTTGTGCCTGGCCTGGGACAGGCCTCACAGGAGGCTGTGGTGGGGGTTCCTCACTCTGTTAACCAGAGGCTTTTGTAAGTGGTCTCCTGGAGGACGGCGAGCAGGCATTCCAGGCCTCCCTCTTGGTGTGTTAGAGTTAGCAGGAGGCAACTCCAGAGAGGAAGGGGAGCTGGGACCCGGTGAAGGATAAAGGTGAGGGCTGTGCACGTGCTTCTGAGAGCCAGAGAGGGAGAGAAAGGCCAGCCGCCTGCCGCTGAAGGCACTGACACCCCGGCTCACTTCGCACAAGTCACTGATCTGCCGAGCAGGCCAGGCTCCTCAATCAATCCGTGCTGACAGATGGTAGCGGAATCAGTGACCTAGAGGCAGAAGGCTCCATTTGTAATCCCGGAGTGGCCCAGGCGCCTGGAGGAGGGCAGAGGAGTTTGTAATAAAGGGAGTGACACAGGGTTTCCAAAAGCCATCTCTGCGCCGGAGGAGGAGGGAAAGGATTAATTTTGCTTCTGGAATTGAAACCACTGATTCAGTTCAATAAGTATTTTTTCAGTAGACTAGGTTAGGAGAGGAAAAAAAACAAAAAACAAAAAACAGATCTACTGTCCCTTCCTTAAAGTGGTAGGAAAAACAAGATTCTCGCAGATGAGACAAGAGAACAATGGAGGAACTCTAATGTGATCAAAGAGGACTTCCCCAGTTGAGCTCCGGCCACTGTGGAATCTTGGGCGGTAACTTGCCCTCTTCGAGCCTCCATCTGCTCGTGTGTCCTGTTGTGGCCATCTCGTGGAACGGTAGCTGTTGTTAATATGTGCCTGGTATTGTACTGAATTCTTTATGCAGATCTCTTTAGGCTCCCATGATACCTTATTATCCCCTTTTACTGCTCAGGAAACCAGAGCTCAGAGAGGTGAAGTGATTTGTCCGGTAGAGGTTGGCTGGGCAATGTCCTAGCAGGGTCCAAAGGGGTTCGGAGAGAGGGGGCTATAGAATCGGTCCCAGGACCGGAGGCAGGAGCAGATGAGATCCTGGACTCAAGTTCTCTATCTGCATTCTTTCCTTTTTGGATGAGGCTCTCTGCACAGTTTGTGACCATTCCTTTCATGTTTCAGTCCCTCCATCTGAGACCTGAGTGAACTGAGGAAGAGGGGAAAGGAAGGAAGGATGGGGCAGGAGACTAAGGAAAAGGGCTTCCTTTCATGAGTTCTCTCAAGAAATTGAGGGTGCCCCCAACCACTCTGTGCTTAGAAAGCTCCCCTGCATCCTTCTAAGTTTGTCCAGAAAACATGCATGTGTGCTGAGAGTACCCCCATCCTTTCGCTCTGCAGCCCTGACCCAAGCAGAAACCAGCACTGGTCTTTTAAAAGTCTTAGTGCCAAAGAATTTGAAAATGAAACTCACAGAACAATGGAACAGTCAGAGGGCAGGGCCTAGCAGCCTCTTCAGCTCTGCCCCGGAAGAGCCCGGCACCCCGTTTGGCATGCAGGAGGTGTTGGGGAATCAAGTCTCCAAGAATAGCCCTGACCCACATTGGAGCCAGCCCCCACTTTGTGAAATTGGACAGGAGCCAGGAGAAATCACTGCCTTCCTCAACCACATCCTCCTGAGTGCCAGGACCAACTGAGGCCCTGCCTCGGATTCCTTAACTCGGGGGAGGTGTTGCCTGGCCGGGACCCTCCTTGGGTGGGCTGAGGCAAGGTAAAGCATTTCTGTCTCTGGCTAGGTGAGGCTAGAGGTGAAAGGGTAGACCCAGGCCCAGGGGAGCTTTGTACCTCAAATGGACTGAAATCGGTCCCAGGCCACACCTGGCTCCTGTCAACTTCCACCTGCTGCCCAAAGCACTCTTCCAGTTCCAAATGACTTTCAAGTTGGGTTGCTTCAGGAAAGGAAGCCACATACTCCCCTAACATCTAGGGCAGATGGGGGCCTAATTTAGAATCAGCAATGTTAGCCAACATTAGGAGCACCTAGTTCAAACTCCCCTCATTATATACCAGTCGGAAACTGAGGCCCAGACTGGGGAGAGAATTTGGCCAGATCCCTATGTGAGCTAGAAGTAGGATCACAAACACTCCCAACACATCCCACCCCCACGGGCCTTCTCCCTTTTGATAGTAGTGGGTCACAGGGAACAAACATCCCAGTGGTGGTTCTACAACTGAGATTTTCTTTCCAAAAAAAAAAAAAAAAAAAAAAAAGCCACTCCTTTGCTCCATAAAACATACATGAGGTTTGCAAAAGAAGGCTGGGAACGGCCCGAGGCCTTGGCACCGCAAATCCTCCACCTTATCTCCAAATTAATTCTGGACCCTGGGTCCAGTCAGCCAGGCGCTGCAGCGTTTTAATGCCGCCGCGGGCCAAGGCAACTGGCTTTCGGTGAGTATCTATTTTACATGCGAGGTTGGTGGGCCTCTCAGCTCCTCGCTTTTATTGCGGAGGAAACTGAGGAAGTTATCTGTTATCTAGAGAGCCTAAGTCATTCATCCAAGGACACGCGGCTCTAAGGGGCAGAGGAGGGAAGGGAACCAGGCCCTCTGCGCCGGACGGAGGGCGCTTGGCGGTCAGGAGCTGCCCCCACGCCCGGCCCCACTCAGCAGGCTCCCCTGGGGAGGCCAGGCCCTAGCCCGCGGGTTCCCCAGGATGCCAGAGGCGCGATTCTGGCGTTGGAGGCTCCAGGGAACTCCAGAAATCCCAGGGAGAGATTCCGGGCCACCAACTCCCCAGAAAGTTGGCTCGCGGCCACTCCCAGGACGGCCCGGAGCCGCCGGCCAAAATGGAACTGTGCGGGCGGCCAGCCGCACGCGCGTCGCCGGGCAGCTGCCTAGGGGAGCCCCGCGCGACCCCGGCCGCGGGACGGAGGGTCGCCGCCGCCTCGGCCCCGCCGCGCGCAGGCCTCGGCGCCGCACGCGGGTGGGCACGCGCGC